CAATAACTTGCGACATATTGGAAGTAATAGCATGTGGTGGTGTTGCAAGTTTACTTATAACAAAAGGTGAATCTAAAGCGGAACTGGATGGCAGTTTCTTACCTCCCCTCGTATTAGAGGGAAAATTAGTAGTCTTAGCATCCTTTAGATTCTTCATAATGATAATATGATAATAATCCCAAGTGACTCAACAAATATAGCTATGCTCCCTGGCTACGCCGCCAGAAAAAGGTCTTGATAACCCACAAGTATAGGGGATCGCAACAGTTTTCGAGGATAAAGTATTCAACCCAAATTTATAGATTCGACACAAGGGGAGCCAAAGAATATTTGAAGGTATTAGCAGCTGAGTTGTCAATTCAACCACACCTGGAGATTCATTATCCGCAGCAAAGTGATCAGTAGCAAAGTAGTATGATAGTTTTGATAATAGTAGCAGCAGCAACGGTAACGGTAACAGTGATAGCAGTAGTTTTTTAGCAAGTGTAACAGTGATGATAGTAGTAGTAGCTTAGCAAGAACAATATAGGATAAATTCGTAGGCGTTGGATCGGTGACTTGTTGGATGATATTCATCATGAGACAGTTATAACCTAGGGCTATACGACACTAGCTCCAGTTCATCAATATAATGTAGGCATGTATTCCGTAAATAGTCATGCGTGCTTATGAAAAGAACTTGCATGACATCTTTTGTCCTACCCTCCCGTGGCAGCGGGTTCCATATTGGAAACTAAGGGATATTAAGGCCTCCTTTTAATAGAGAACCGGAACAAAGCATTAACACATAGTGAATACATGAACTCCTCAAACTACGGTCATCACCAGGAGTGGTCCCGACTATTGTCACTCCGGGGTTGCCGGATCATAAAACGTAGTAGGTGACTATAACTTGCAAGATCGGATCTAGAACATGGATATAATGGTGATAACATAAACGCATCAGATCTGAAATCATGGCACCCGGGCCCAAAGTGACAAGCATTAAGCATGGCAAAGTCATAGCAACATCAATCTAAGAACATAGTGGATACTAGGGATCAAGCCCTAACAAAACTAACTCGATTACATGATGAATCTCATCCAACTCCTCACCGACCAGCGAGCCTACGAAGGAATTACTCACTCCCGGTGGGGAGCATCATGGAATTGGCGATGGAGAAGGGTTGGTGATGACGAAGAACGAAGATCGCCCTCTCTGGAGCCCCAAACGGACTCCAGATCTGGCCTCCCGAAGAAGAACAAGAGGTGACGGCGGCTCCGTCTTGTGGATCGTGATAATTCTTTCTCCCCTATTTTTTCTGGAAAAATAGGATTTTATGGCGTCGGTTTCAGGGTCTGCGGGGCCACCAGGTGGGGACAACCCACCTGGGCGTGCCAGGAGAGGGGGGGCTGGTGGGTTGTGCCCACCTAGGTGCCCCTCTCTGGTAGATCTTGTCTCCAGAAACTCTTATTTATTATATAAAAATTCCTCGCAAAGTTTCGTTCCATTCCGAGAACTTTTATTTCTGCAAAAAACAACACCATGGTAGTTCTGCTGAAAACAGCGTCAATCCGGGGTTAGTTTCATTCAAATCATGCAAATAAGAGTCCAAAACAAGAGGAAAAGCGTTAGGAAAAGTAGATACGTTAGAGATGTATCAAGCACTACGACGTTATGACCAGAGGAGTAAACTGTGGAGGGGGGTGCACACACGGCTGAGGGAACAATTGATGTGCCATTGGGGTGCCCCATGCCCCCGTATATAAAGGAGGGGAGGAGGAGGAGGCCGGCCTAGAGGGGGCACGCCAAGGGGGGAGTCCTACTAGGACTCCAAGTCCTAGTAGGATTTGCCACCCTCCCTTTTCCTTTCTTCACCGGAGGGAAAAGGAAGGAGAGGGAGAGGGAGAGGAAAGGGGGCCACGCCCCCTCCTCCTTGTCCTATTCGGACTCCCTAGGAGGGGGCGCGCGCCACTCCCACACGGGCTTCCCTCTCCCTCCCCTAGGCCCATGTAAGCCCAATACTTCCCCGGGGGGTTCCGGTAACCCCTCGGTACTCCGGTAAAATACGCGAACCACTCGAAACCATTCCGATGTCCGAATACTACCTTCTAATATATGAATCTTTACCTCTCGACCATTTCGAGACTCCTCGTCATGTCCGTGATCTCATCCGGGACTCCAAACAAACTTCGGTAACCAAAACACATAACTCATAATACAAATCGTCATCGAACGTTAACCGTGCGGACCCTATGGGTTTGAGAACTATGTAGACATGACTGAGACTCATCTCTAGTCAATAACCAACAGCGGAACCTGGATGCTCATATTGGTTCCTACATATTCTACGAAGATCTTTATCGGTTAAACCGCAATAACAACATACGTTATTCCCTTTGTCATCGGTATGCTACTTGCCCGAGATTCGATCTTCGGTATCATCATACCTAGTTCAATCTCGTTACCGGCAAGTCTCTTTACTCGTTTTGTAATACATCATCCCGCAACTAACTCATTAGTCACATTGCTTGCAAGGCTTATTGTGATGTGCATTACCGAGAGGGCCCAGAGATACCTCTTCGATACTCGGAGTAACAAATCCTAATCTTGATCTATGCCAACCCAACAAACACCTTCGGAGACACTTGTAGAGCATCTTTATAATCACCCAGTCACGTTGTGATGTTTGATAGCACACAAGGTGTTCCTCCGGTATTCGGGAGTTGCATAATCTCATAGTCAGAGGAATATGTATAAGTCATGAAGAAAGCAATAACAATAAAACTTAACGATCATTATGCTAAACTAACGGATGGGTCTTGTCCGTCACATCATTCTCTAATGATGTGATCCCGTGCATCAAATGACAACACATGTCTATGGTCAGGAAACTTAACCATCTTTGATTAACGAGCTAGTCAAGTAGAGGCATACTAGGGACACTCTATTTTGTCTATGTATTCACACATGTACTAAGTTTCTGGTTAATACAATTCTAGCATGAATAATAAACATTCATCATGATATAAGGAAATATAAATAACAACTTTATTATTGCCTTTAGGGCATATTTCCTTCAGTCCCAACAGCTCATAGTGAGAGTAGTCTACATCTTGGCCACGCTCATTCTCGATGATCATGTTGTGCATGATCACACAAGGGTGTGTGATGTACCAAAGCATATTTTGATCCCAAAATCTAGCCGGTCCTCTCACAAAAGCAAATTGGGCTTGCAAAATCCCAAAAACTCTCTCCACATTTTTTCTAGCCGTCGCCTAAGTATTGTGAAAATCAAGATTTTTCTTACCTTTCGGTTTTTTCAACGACTTCACAAATGTTTGCCACTTTGTGTAGATGTCATCCGCAAGATAATAGCCATAGTTGTATATACAGTCATTTGCTACAAACTGCACCGGTGGCAGTTCACCATTTGCAATCTTATTCATCAGTGTTGACCGGTTGACAACGTTGATGTCATTCAAATATCCATGCGTTCCAAAAAAAGCATACCAAATCCAAGTCTCTTGATCGGTCACCGCTTCAAGGATTATAGTGGAACCCTTTTTTTGGCCGTGGAATTGCCCATGCCATGCCTTAGGACAATTCTGCCAACTCCAATGCATGCAATCTATTGAGCCAAGCATACCCGGGAAGCTGCGAGCTGTGTTCATCTTCAATAGCCTTGCGGCGTCTTCAGCATTGGGAGATCTCAAATACTCCTGGCCAAACACTTCCACAATTTCGACTGCGAAGCGCTATTCGTCAAAGGACTGCCGCGCGCGACGGGTGGCGGTGACCAAAAGGAGACAGAGGAAACCGCGGCGGCGCGTGGATAGGCCGGGGAAGTGCCAAAACGGTCGCCGGAAGAAATGGAGTGGTGCTGGCGGCGGCGGCGCCAGCGGCTGGATTGGGTAGGTGGAGTTGCGAGCGCCCGGAGCGGTTGCGCGCGTAAAAAGCACTAATTTTTCAACGCGGGCCCTTATATAGCGCGGCTATTGAAGATGCTCTTAAGCACAAAAAACTACAGGAAACGAAACTCCTGCATCTCATCATCCTCATCTCTCTCCGCAGAACTCCCCTGAACCTGAGCCAGATTGACCCATTTTTTCTTCTTCTTTTTGGGCGCGGGATACCCTTGTCCCAGCCTTTGTAATGTGACGTGTATTTCTTTCTTTCTCCTGCTTAACTGCCAGTTTCTAAAAAATACGTTGTTGATGGTTGTCAATGGCAAAGTCGGAGTTGCTTGCTTTGCTTCAGGAGAAGTGACCATGATGATGCTTGTGCTGCCTCGGCCACGCTTCTCTTGGTTTATTCGAAGCAGAGGAATTTCGAAGCAAAGTGCATTACAACCCAAAGTCAAAACTCCCACAAGTAGCATTCGGGCTGGACAATTACTTCAAAGTCACTTCACATAATGGGGGAAATATCTGCACATTTTGCTGAAAACCGAAACAAGCCTGGGAATATGTCACTGGTGTTCATGTTGGTCGATTTGTTAGGGATTAACATACCTTCACATAAACTATGAAGGGACTACAGATTATTTCTCAGCGGCTCAGGTACTTCATGCTTCAGCTACTGCCAGAAAAAACACGGCACCCAGAGCTAGAGTAGTTCCCAGTACGCCTTACCTTGTGGAACTGATCCAAACTCTTCAACTCAGCCAGGGTTCAGAGAGTTCACCAATCTGCCGTAACTGTCAGCCTGTCATAATCTCAAGAGTCTGTATATAACAATGGTCTATATATACTCATTTCTATTTATGTAAATCGTAGTAGGGTCAGATTTCTTATAGCCTATACAGGGGATAATATGCACAATCGGGAACAAACGCACTCATGCACTCTCCACCTTCAGCTGGGAAGGGGGGCGTTGGGATCCGTTCAGCACCTCATCGGGCCGCTCTGCTCGCGAAACACGGACAAACACAACACACACACACACTCACACCTATAACATCTGCTTTCTTATCTGCACAGCGCAAAGCAAGCGAGGTTCCCTGCTTGCTGTTTGCGGCCTAGAAAAGCTGGAAAAAGAGGCTTGTCGAACCGTCGCCGAATGACCGGAGGTCTGCTGGCTTCACCAGTGCCCTGCACAGTGGGCAGGTGCGCTCCCTCTCAAACCTGCCATCATCAAAATAAAAAACATTAGGGAAACGCCACAAGATACTCTGAATGTTGAGATCATGAAACAAAAACTGTAACTAGAAGGGAGTGGAAGGAATGCCTGTGCATTACCATTCAGAGACACAATCTTCGCAGAAGACATGTTTACAGCGCAAAAGAATGGGGACATGCATCTTCTCTTGGCATATAGCACACATATCTCCAGCGGCAGCAACCTGAGTGCACACACACCGCATCGGAAGTCAAGTACATGAAAGGTGCATGCCAAAAGTTCTAGTACTACAACACATATTTCACATGTCATCGTTACTTATAAACATTCAGTAACAAGTGGCAGCCAACAACTTCTTCGTGTATAAAGCATACAAAATTACAAATTACCTGCTCACTCGTTGCATATGAACCATAATGGAAGTCTTCATGGGACAACGCTCTCAGAGATGTAAAAAATGATTGAATCTGCCAAGCAAAAATGGCAAGTGTCAGAAGGCATCCCCTCAGTATCACTGCTGAAATTGTATAATGGAAGGTATATCACCTTTTCCACGACAGATGTCAGCTTGAAAGTAAGATACAGTCCAGTGGTTAGAGAGGAAAATAGGCTCCCATACTCCTTGTTCAGGAAAAAACGGTACCATACAGGGGCAGGCAATAAGGCACGGTACAGAAGTAGAAAGTATTCCACGAGTGTTAACATTTGCCCCTAAACAAAAAGGCAAAAATCGGTTATAGCTCCCTGATTATACAGAAACAATAGCACTGCACCTGGAGCTATCAGGAGAAACACCAAGATACATCACAGGAATCTAGGATTACAAATGTAGGATGATGCATTACCTGCCTACGATAGCTACAGCCCTTGGTGTTCCTGTAGTACATTAGCAGTAAGCACTTCATGATCATAGCAGTTTGGCGCACCATTGTATCTGAACAAATTTTAGAAGAGAACTGACACGATTACAAACTTCACGAAGAAAGTATCAGCTCTAGACAGTATGGTTAATTTAGTCTATATTATCCACTGAAGATAGTTGTTCATGTTTGAAGTATAGCGATGCATCACCACTTATACATTGAAAACAGCCTACTTTATTTGTACATATCCACATGAAACAAATCTGATGAACTTTTGAGCCATTTAACACAATTAAAATTTAAAAGGACTCTAGTACCAGCAATTAAACATTTCCAGGCAGTATGACGTCCACAGAATGAATTTAGAAGCAATGCAAGTGGCAAAAACTAAATATGTTCAACCATCATAGGTGAAAATAACATACCATTCACCAGGATTACGAATATTGCATGCCAAAATGGTGGTATCTCTTTTGGAGGAAGCATGACCAGAGGTCTGATAAGATCACCATTCTTGTAACACCAGTACACTCCAGATACATGAACGACAAATAATATTGTAATTCCCACAAGAATTAACATTTTTCTCTCCCCCTGCATCAAGCAGAAGAAAAGAAGCAAAGTTAGCCAGATGGTAAAAGGATCATAGATAAACACTTAAGCACAAATGATACCAACAGTAAGCATCCTCATACAAGGTACATACATAGCTACTCCCTCCGGTCCTTTTTTACTCCGCGTATTAGAGTTGGGTCAAGTCAAACTTTGCAAAGTTTGACCAAATATATATTAAAAAATATCAACATCTACCATACCGAATATACATTCCATGAAACTACATTTCATAATGAATCTAACAATATTGATATGGCATTGTAAATGTTTATACTTTTTTCTATAAGTTTGTTCAAAGTAGAGATGCTTTGACTTCAGACAAAACTTATATGCAGACTAAAAAGGACCGGAGGGAGTAATAGGTTTTCGTGACTTCTAAAGATGAAGATAAAGGCAGGGGCATGAAAGATGCTTACAAGCTACAACTACCTATACAAATAGAACTCTCTCGCAATTCCAGGAACCAATTAATAGCTGCAGTAATGATCAAACTAAGGGACCGCATGTAACCATTTCCATTTGGTATTTCTTTGGTGTAGGGTAAGGGCATAAACCAACAAAGACATTCAATTAATTTACCTTACAGTCAACAGGACAACACAACTCATGCAAAGAAGAACATGACATACATAGGCATGTAAAGGTAATGCGTGAATACAGAAAATTCATGAAAATGCTCGACTCAATCTGGCTTATGGATGGTTGTGATGGATTTCATAGTGCTGGCTGCCCAGCTTTTGGTGTGTTTTTAACTTCCTGAACTCAAAGGTGGATGGCATGGTGTGATCGGCTTTTGCCCTATTAATATATAAAGCACTCAACGCAACACTAATGTTACCATGTAAGCACGTAAAAAAAAATCACCATCACATTTGTTCAAAGATTTGCTGAACTGAAACATAGATCAATATACCACACCAAGCAACATGATTGCATACAATGAATTGGACTTATTCCATTAATCGTTACTCTTTAGTCTTTAGTTTTGACACACTAAGCTACGGGTAAACTACTACACCAGAGCCAAAAATAAAAAATCAATAGAACGGGCACAAACCTACCTTGAGAGCAGTCTGCTTGCGCAGGATGTCATTGGACTTGAACATCACGGCAGCAATCCAGATGGTGACAAAGAAACCTGCATGAAGCAAACCAGATCAGTCCACGGTTTCTTCTCACTGATCCCCACGCTCCCAAATAAACAAATGCAATCATAAGTCCCACCCACGTTTGTTCACAGGATAAACGAATGCGGCCATATACAGACGACAACATAGTATCAATTTGCACGGGTGGATCATGAACGAAAGATAAGCAGAGTGGGCGGGGAACGACCTTGCAGGTGCTGTCTGATGAAGACGACGAGCAGCAGCAGGGTGAAGGGCAGTATCTGCTCCACCCACCTGGCCACCTGCTGTATGTCGTACCTCTGGTAGGAGGAGGAGGTGTCGGCGCCGGCCGCGGCCGCCGGCGCGGGCGCGGAGGGGTGCGCCCCCCTCGCGGCGTCTCCCTCCGCACCCTCCTCCTGCACGTCGTCGGCCCCGTCGGTCGGCGCCGACCCCACGATCCGGATCGACACCTCGCCGCCCCCGGCGGGCGGGAGGTGCGGGCCGGGGTCGGCGCGGAGGACGCCCGAGTACTCGAGCAGCGCGGAGAGCGGCGCCTGGATGAAGCTGGAGGCGGAGAAATGCACGCCGTAGCGCCTGGACGGCACGGCCGCGGCCGCGGGGGCCTGGGCCTGCGGCTGCGTCTGGGGCCGCGGCGACGCCGGGGGCGTGGTGGGCGTCGGCGGCGCGTCCATCATCGGGGCGCCGGGGCGGGGCGGCAGCTTCCAGAGGCGCCTGCGGCGGTGGCGGGGGAGCGCGGGCGGGTCCGCGGCGTCGCAGGGCTGGGGCGGGGGAGCGGGGGGCGCGCGGAGGCAGGCGGCGAGGCGGAGGAGGGGGCTCGCCGTCGCCGTCGCCGTGGTGGCGTCGGGTTGGTCGGTTGTCGCGGTCGCGGTCGCGGCGCGGCGCGAGGAGTTCCTGGAGGCTTTTGGTTTTGGGATATTTTCTCTGACCCGTACGCCACGCCTGCCCGCCTTTCCGATCCTTCTCCCTCCCTCGGGCTCGGGCGCGGGTTGGGTTATGTTTGGGCGAGGCAAGGGTGACGTGGTCGCGGCGGGATGGGGATACGCCGTCTGCCTCTGCGTCGATCGTGTCCGGCCTCTTTGGTTGGTTGCGGGTTGCTTCAATTGATTAATCATCATCGTCTGTCTGGTTCCGACTTTGTATTAGGACCTGATTAATTGCATAATCTGTCGGCGTCGCCGCTACTAAAAGGATTGGTTCTCAGCTAAACAAAAGAAGGTCTGGCTCTGCGAGTCTTTTTCTTGCCCGTACTGCTGGATCAAATCGGGCATTGAGCACAAAAACAAAACAAAAAACATTGCCTTAATATAGTACTCCCTCCGTCCGGAAATACTTGGATCAGATCAGTCTCCAACACCAGCAGACGGGTAGTAGCATCACCATGCCGGTTCCAGCACGCTTGGTTCTCGGTTGTGGCACCCGCGATGTCGTAGTCGCAGAAGCATGTGATGCTAGTCGCGACACCACCCCACCAAGAGTGTAGCCACCGCACGACACCGATTATAGCAACTAGCGATGACGGTCACAGCCCCGATGCCCCCTCCCCCCGAGCTTGTTGTTTGCAGCTACCGAAGGGGAGCGCTGATGTGCGAGAGGGAGGCAAGGAGAATGAAGGAGGTTGCGGCGGAGGAGAGGTTAGAGTGGTGGGGAGCCGAAAGAGCGGAACGTTGGATCTGAGGAAAGGCTTGGCCTTCTACGGCTGGGGAACTGCACAACCCTCATAAAATACACTTTTATGATGAATCTAATGGTACTAATTTTATATTATGGATGTTGATTGTTTTCTTATAAATTTGGTCAATCATATATATAGATTTATTTGACTTAAAAAAACCTAATATACATTATATTTTAAAAAGAAGGAAGTAAGAGAGATTCCATAAGTGACACCGACAGTATATCGTAAAAGGGAGCCTTGAGAATGGTGAACACTGAACCAACTATAGCTAGCCGGATAGATAAGAACTATTAGCACCCCTCTCGCAAGACAACTAGGATAAAGCCTTCCTCTCCTCTATCTTCGCCGGAGAGCCCGTGGATACGTTTCCCCTTTGCCTGCCGCTCCGGTGGCTGGTGATGGGGAGGGGAATCTTGATTCCTCGGCTCTAGCTAGTAGATATGTTAGGGTGTTAGTCCTCGCATAGGCAGCGCTCGGACGGATGGAGACACTTCTTCTTCGAGTCAGTTCGCGGGTTCCAATCCTCCTCAAGTTCACCAGTTGGGACATACTAGATGGAGCTCCAGCGTAGATTCCTACCAGCTCCTCGGGCAGCGGGGTTAGGATTTCTTGTCGTGCATACACGGCAGTGAGATTTGGTGTCAGGTTCTTCCGGTCGATTCAAGGGTTTGATGACGACAACTATGACTCTAGGGCATTGTTCATTAGGGGGACATGTGTAGGACCTTGAGAAGAAGTAAGTAAGTCTAGAGGGGGGGTGATTAGACTACTTGACCAATTAAAAACTATGTCTTTTCCCAATTTTAGTCTATGGCAGATTTTAGCAATCTTAGCACAAGTCAAGCAATCTTCACACAATTCAAGCAAGCATGCAAAGGAGTATATGAGCAACGAAAAGTAAAGCATGCAACTTGCAAGAATGTAAAGGGAAGGGTTTGGAGATTTCAAACACAATTTGGAGACACAGTGATTTTTGAGCCGTGGTTCCGATAGGTGGTGCTATCGTACATCCACGTTGATGGAGACTTCAACCCACGAAGGGTAACGGTTGCGCGAGTCCACGGAGGGCTCCACCCACGAAGGGTCCACGAAGAAGCAACCTTGTCTATCCCACCATGGTCGTCGCCCACGAAGGACTTGCCTCACTAGCGGTAGATCTTCACGAAGTAGGTGATCTCCTTGCCCTTACAAACTCCTTGGTTCAACTCCACAATCTTGTCGGAGGCTCCCAAGTGACACCTAGCCAATCTAGGAGACACCACTCTCCAAGAAGTAACAAATGGTGTGTTGATGATGACCTCCTTGCTCTTGTGCTTCAAATGATAGCCTCCCCAACACTCAACTCTCTCTCTTAGGATTTGGATCTGGTAGGAAGAAGATTTGAGTGGAAAGCAACTTGGGGAAGGCTAGAGATCAAGATTCATATGGTAGGAATGGAATATCTTGGCCTCAACACATGAGTAGGTAGTTCTCTCTCAGAAATGGTAAGTTGGAAGTGTAGGTTTGTTCTGATGGCTCTCTCCACGAATGAAGAGGAGGTGGAGGGGTATATATAGCCTCCACACAAAATCTAACCATTACACACAATTTACCAATCTCGGTGGGACCGAATCAACAAACTCGGTCGGACCGATTCAGTAAACAATGTGACCGTTAGGAATTTCGGTGGGACCGAAATGCAACTCGGTGGGACCGATATGGTTAGGGTTAGGGCATAACGTAATCTCGGTGGGACCGATTACACAAACTCGGTGAGACTGATTTTGGTAATAAGCTAACCAGAGAGTTGGTCAGGCAAACTCGGTGGGACCGATTACTCAAACTCAGTGGGACCGATTTGGGTAATAACTAATAAGTTAACCAGAGAGTTTGCATTGTAATCTCGGTAGTACCGATTGCTCAAACTCAGTGAGACCGATTTTGATAATGGACATACACAGAGAGATTACAATCCCATCTCGGTGAGACCGAGATCCCTATCGGTGAGACCGATTTGCCTAGGATTTGTGGCAGTGGCTATGACATCTGAACTCGGTGACGCTGGATAGAAAGAATCGGTGGGGCCGAGTTGGACTTTAGGTTTAGGTCATATGTGGATGTGGGAAAGTAGTTGAGGGTTTTGGAGCATATCACTAAGCATTGTGGAGCAAGAAACTCATTAAGCAACACCTCATCCCTTCTTGATAGTATTGGCTTTTCCTATAGACTCAATGTGATCTTGGATCACTAAAATATAAAATGAAGAGTCTTGATCTTGAAGCTTGATCCAATCCTTTGTCCTTAGCATCTTGAAGGGGTTTCCACATCCTTTAGTCCATTCCACTCCATTGTTGAACTTGTCTGAAATATACTAGATAAAAGTGTTAGTCCAACAAGAGATATGTTGACATTAATTATCAAAAGCACCTAGGGAGCACTTGTGCTTTCAATCTCCCCCTTTTTGGTAATTGATGGCAACATACATCAAAGCTTTAGATAAAGATATAGAGAATAGCAAGTAAAGCTTTGGAAAGACATGTAACATGCATAGGCTCCCCCTACATGTATGCAATCATGTGAATATGAAATATAGAAGCATGTGAATGCATGAACATGACAGAGTAAGCAATGTGTTACATGTATCTTGGCCATATGCATCAGAGCAAAGAATATTAAAATAAATACCTTCATGCTCATGAGTCCTTCTTGCAAACAGTATGTACATCAGCAAGAATTCCTCATACACATGATTGTGATGCATATACTTACCTTGTGGTCTTGAGTTGGCTTAGGATGGAATGAACCTGCATAAACAAGGTTAGACAACACAGATACACCTACTAGCCCGAGCAAACAGAAGGAACCACAAGAATACCAAGACTGGGATGACATGTGAAGAGTGAGTACTAAGTACCACATTGGATTAGACATGTCCCCAAAGGTAAAGATATGCAATGAATTTAAATGATTTCTTTCCCTTAGATGTCTTGCTCCCCCTGAATCTAGCATGGGATACTGGGAGAAGATAGGAAACAGAAAATCAGAGCTAAAAGATACACATGAACAGAGCTAATGCAAATAAGCACATATGAACATGTCTTTCCCCTCAAGAAGACATGTGGCATCTCTCCTCTTGAACACCAAGCACCAGGGATCCTTGAGAATTACTTTCTTCTTGAGTATTCTCTCCCCCTGGAGGACTCTCTCTCCCCCTGTGGAAGTGATAATCTCTCTCTCCCTCTAGAAGTGATAAGCTTTGATGTGATCTCTCTCCCCCCTTTGACATCAATTTCCAAGAAGGGCCTTCTGGAATTTGTCGTGA